CTTCTCTCTGTGTAACTCTTTCAAATAAAAAAATAAATCTTCTTAAAAACTGAAATAAAACTGCTAAAAATAAATTTTTAACATTCTCAGCACCAAAAAATGATAAGTTGGCAAGGTGATAGATATGTTAATTAGCTTGATTGAATCCTTCTACAGTATATACACCAAAACATCACATTAAGTCCCAGGAATATGCACAATTATAATCTGTCAATTAAAAATACTTCTTTTTTTTTTTTTAATTTTTTTGCCAGGCAGTCAGACAGTGAGAGAGAGAGAGAGAGAAACAGAGTTATAGACAGTGAGAGAGAGAGAGAAAGGTCTTCCTTCTGTAGGTTCACTCCCCTAATGGCCGCTACGGCCAGTGCTGCGCCAATCTGAAGCCAGGAGCCGGGTACTTCCTCCAGGTCTCCCATGCAGGTGTAGGAGCCCAAGAACTTGGGCCTTCCTCCTCTGCCCTTCCGGACCACAGCAGAGAGCTGGACTGGAAGAGGAGCAACCGGGACAGAATCCAGCGCCCCAACCGGGACTAGAACCCGGGGTGCTGGCGCCACAGGCAGAGGATTAGCCAAGTGAGCCACAGCGCCGCCAAAAATACTTCTTAAAAAGATTTCAGAAAAGTGCTTCAGGAGAATGCTACAGGTTGAGAGATTCAGACTAAACCAATTCACTCATTCATTAAAATACAAGTGAGGCTATTACCAGGTTAAGAGATGAAGACAGATACAAAAAGCAATGTCTTTCTTCAATGGCTGCTGGTCTGTCAAAACAGATGAGTAGAATGAGAGTACCCGGGGGAACACACGTGAGGAATGTGGAAAGGCAACTATCACAGTCAAAGAGATAGCCAGGAGAGCCACTGCAGACGGCCTGAAAACTGGACCTGGCTTTTGAAGGATGGTAAAGCTGGGTGTCAGGGTGCAAGCAGAGAGAACACAGGCACAGGACACGGCACGGAGGGAGACTACACACAGTTCTGAAGGGCCGAGGCCCCGGCTGCTTGGGAAAGGAGGCAGGCGGTAATCACAAAAGACCACCATGCCTTCCTAGGTTGGAAGTTCATCCCTAGGGAAATGCAGACCTGATCCCGAAGGCTACCGCACAATGACGACCCTTGGAGGGTGGGAGACAGGCATGACTAGATTGGGCTTTTCTAAAGATCCCTGTGACAGCAGTGAAGCAGAGACTGCCTTTAAAACTAGAAGAACATCGTAAAATGACTCCAGTGGCTGTAGGGAATGAGGGAAAGGGGTAGATTCCACAGATACTTAGGGAACAACACAGACAAGGTTTGGATATTGAGGGTTAAGTGAGTGGATCCAATCAAATACTTGCAGGTATCCAGCTTGGGCTGATTTCGTTCATGATGGTATTTACCAATACTGGGGATACAGAAAACACACAGGTTTGTAGGAATAGGAAGGGAAATCACTTTAGACATTTCAATTGAAAATGTCTATCCAAGTTGTCCATAGAATGATCTGGAGAAAACACATCTGATTCTGTGAATATATGAACGCAATCACCCTGGGAGAGAATACAAATAAAACAGGAAGGCTAATGGCACTGCGCTGAGGAATACCTACACTTAGCAAAGTACAGGGGAAGAGAAGCCAAGGAGGAGCTGGTGGTGGAGCGGCCAGAGCAAGATCACGCATGGACAGCACAAAACAGTCAAGGGAAGACGAAACATCCAAGAGTGGCCTCTAACTTAGCCACCTATGCCATTACCAAGGCTAATTTCAATCCAGTGTTAGACGCAGGAGGAGCCAAACTTAGGTGTGATTAGAAAGTGGGAAAAGGGGGGCTGGCACTGTGGGGTAGAGGGTGAAGCCGTCGCCTGCAGTACCGGCATCCCATATGGCCGCAGGTTGAAGTCCTGGCTGTTCTACTTCCAATCCAGCTCTCTGCTATGGCCTGGGAAAGCAGTAGAAGATGGCCCGAGTCCTTGGACCCCTGCACCCGTGTGGGAGACCCAGAAGAAGTTCCTGGCTCTTGGCTTTGGATCGGAGCAGCTCTGGCAGTTGTGGCCAATTGGGTAGTGAACCAGTGGATAGAAGACCTCCTCTCTCTACCTCTCCTTCTCTGTGTATCTCTGACTTTCAAATAAATAAATACATCTTTTTTAAAAAGTGGGAAAATGAAAATATATGTTTAGAGTACTCTTCAGAAAAAGTTATACGAGGAAGGAGATATAGGGCACAAGGCAGGAAAATACCCGTTTGGAAGGATTATTTTTGGAGTTGACTTTTTTTATGCTGAAGGGGAATATAACAGCAGAGTAGAAGAAACTAAAACTCCTAAAAATCAAAGGGGTAATAAATGGAAAAGGAAAAAAAAAAAAAAGCCGGCGCTGCAGCTCACTAGGCTAATCCTCTGCCTTGCGGCGCCGGCACACCGGGTTCTAGTCCCGGTCAGGGCACCGGATTCTGTCCCGGTTGCCCCTCTTCCAGGCCAGCTCTCTGCTGTGGCCAGGGAGTACAGTGGAGGATGGCCCAAGTGCTTGGGCCCTGCACCCCACGGGAGACCGGGAGAAGCACCTGGCTCCTGCCTTCGGATCAGCACGGTGCGCCGGCCACGGTGGCCATTGGAGGGTGAACCAATGGCAAAGGAAGACCTTTCTCTCTGTCTCTCTCTTTCTCACTGTCCACTCTGCCTGTCAAAAAAATAAAATAAAAATAAAAATAAAATAAATGGAAAAGGGATGGGGTGGTGGTGGTGGTGAGGACTGCATTGGGAGGAAATGAAACAAAGCACAATGGAAAGGAATTCTCTGGGCAAAAGGGGCTAAGCACAGATTTAGCTGTAGAAAAGCTTACAGGCAGAGTAGGCTCAGAAATTTCTCTGGGAATGGGCAATTGATGCAGCAGTTAAGATGAAACTTGAAACACCCGCATTCCGTATTGGAGGGCCTGGCTTCAAGTACCAGCTCTGCTCCCAATTCCAGCTTCCTGCTGTGCACACCCTGGGAGGCAGCAGGGGATGGCTCATGGGTGCTGGGCCTCTTGTCACCCACAGAGTTCTTGGATCCTGGCATTGGCCATGCCCAGCCCCAGCTTACAGGCATTTTGGGAGTGAACTAGTGAATGGAGGAATTCTCTCTTTCTCTCTTCTTTCCAATAAATAAAGCTTAAAACATTTTTTAAATAAAAGAACAGAGCTCTGAAGGAAATAATAATGAAGAAGGCGATGAACAGTGGCTCATTAAGAATGAGGAGAAACACAGGGAATGCATTTTTTAAAGATTCGTTTGTTTATTTTTCAAGTCAGAATTACACAGAGAGGGAGATACAGAGAAAGATATCTTCCAACTGCTGGTTCATTTCCCAGATGGTCATAATGGCCAGGGCTGGGCCAGGCTATATCCAGGAGCCAGGAGCTTCTTCTGGATTTCCCACATGGTGGCAGGGGCCCAAGTACTTGGGCCATCTTCTGCTGCTTTTCCCAGGCCATTAGCAAGGAGCTGGATCAGAAGTGGAGCAGCCGGGACTTGCACCAGTGCCCATATGGCATGCCAGCATCACAGGCAGCAGCTTTACCCAGTATGCCACAACACTGGCTCCCTGGGAAGGCATTTGGCACACATGTTAAGACATCACTTGGGATGCCAGCATCACATAGAGGAGTGCCTGGATTTGAGTCTTGGCTCCACTGCTGTTTCTATATTCTTGCTAATGCGAACCTTGGGAGGCAACAGATGATGGCTCAAGTGGTTGGGTAAGAGATCTAGACTGGGTTCTAGATCCTGGCTTCAGTTTGGCATAGTACCAGCTGTCACAGGCATTTGAGGAGTGAGCCACAGGAAGACAGTTCTTTCTGCCTCTCAAAATCAGCCGCTAGGTTTAGTAAGAACTGATTTAATAGAAAAGGGGTAACCACAGCAGGACAAAAACAAAAGACAGATGCAATATCAGAACCTTGTTAATATTTCACAAGTATTTATTTATTTATTTTCACTTTATCTGAAAGATGGAAAGATATCATCCTTCTACTGGCTCAAACCCCAAACGCCCACAACAGCTGGGGCTGGGCCAGGCCAAAGCCAGAAGTCTAGAAGTCAGTCCAGGTCTCCCACTTGGGCGGCAGGGACTCAAACACTCGAACAATCACCTGCTGCCTCTCAGGATGCATTAGCAGGAAGCTGGATGGAAAGTGGAGTAGCCAGGACTCAAACCAGGCACTCTGATATGGGATGTGGGTGTTCCCAGGTGAAGCCAACATCTACCCCAAAGCTGATTTAATCAACAACAGGTAGCTACCATTGATTCTCAAATGTGGATAAGGCATAATTATGTTTGAAGTTTATCCTGGAAATAGCATATAGGAAAGAGACTGAAAAAGTGGACAGCAGAGGGGCTGGTGTTGTGGCATAACAGGTAAAGCTGCCGCTTGCAATGCCGACATCCATATGGATGCTGGTTTGAGACCGGGCTGCTCTACTTCCAAACCAGCTCTCTGCTAGGGCCTGGGAAAACAGCAGAAGATGGCCCAGGTCCTTGGACCCTTACACCCGTGTGGGAGACCTGGAAGAAGCTCCTGAGTCCTGGCTTCAGATCAGCGCAGCTTTGGCCATTGCGGCCAATTGGAGAGTGAACCAGCAAATAGAAGACCTCTCTCTCTCTCTCTCTCTCTCTCTCTCTGTAACTCTTGACTTCCAAAAAAATAAAATAAATCTTTAAAAAAAAAAAAAAGAACTGACAAAATTTCTGACCCATGAGGAATCTAGTGAAAAGAGACTAGAAAATGAACACATGATAAAAAGTCACACGGCCAGTAAGGGCCCCTGGGGGTTAGCTGTGGGGGTGCATTCATTAGGGTCAGGAAAGGCTTCTCTGAGGAGACAGTTTACCAAGTATTGGCAAACTTAGGGCCACAGGACAAATCTGGTCCATCACCTGTTTTGTTTGGTTCATGAATTAAGATAAAAATAGTTCTTGCCATTTTTAAATGATTGAAAAATTGGTTAGCAGTTTAGATGCCTATGTCCCACTCTAGAGTACCTGGATTTGATGCTTGGCTCCCTTCCCGACTCCAGCTTCCTGCTGACGTAGACACTGCGAGGCAGCAGTGATGCCTTGAGTAACTGGGTTTCTGCCACACAGGGAGACCTGGATTGACTTCACAACTCTGGCTTTGGATCCAGCTGTGGAGTACTGTATGTACTTGGGGAGTGGGCCAGAGGATGGGAGCATTCTATTTCACTTTCAAATAAATAAATAATATTTTTAAAAGTATATGGAATTCAAAACTCAGCATCCAGAATAAAGTTTTATTGGAACACAGCCGCACTCATTAGTTTGCCTATTATCCCTGCTTGCTTTGCACTCCAGAGTCAAGCAGCTGCAACAGAGACCATCTGGCCCCTTGTAGAAAAAAACTTGATAAACATGGCTAGACTTAACTGAGAAAAAGCCATATATATATATAAAGACCATGGTGGACTAGTGTCCTAGCCTGACAATGAGTGCACAGGCCTAGAGATACCACAAGCACAGTGTGTGCGACAGAACAAGGCCAGCTTAGCTCTGCAGCAGAATGAACGAAAATGGGAAGAGGTGATGCTAAAAAAGCAGGTATGACCAGGGGCCACGCTGGCTTTGTGGGCCACAATAAGGGGTCTGGACGTGCTCCAGCAGGAGGGGCAGACACTGATGGCATAAAGTGAAGAATTCAGAGTTGCCGTGTGAAGAAGAAACTTTAGTGAGGTAAGAGCACAGCGAAAGGGATGAGAGTAGTCCAGCCACGAGATTATAATGGATTACTGAGGGGTTTTGATGGAGCAGTTATTGAGAGGAAGTTGGATTTAGGGCATATTTTGGATCAGACACAGACATAATTTGCTGATGGATATGATTTGGGATGTGGGGAAAAAAAAATGAAGGGTAACTCTTAAATTGTATCCCTGAACAACTGGAAACATAGTAGAATCATTCTGAAATAAACCAGGAATAGAAAAGGATTGAGGGGGAAAATCTAGACTTTTTGGACATGGTTAAATGTGGGGTATTTATTGGTTAGCCAACTGCTTCAATGCATATCTATTTCCTTGCCTATAGAATAGGAATCGTAGTGATACCTCAAAAGGTGGTCATGAAGATTAGGTGAGAAAATATATATATGAAGTGCTCAAAACAGCCTAGCCCTCAATAACATCCAACAAATGTTAGCCACTTTCAGGACTATCCAAATGGAAACGTCAGGTAGGCAGTTAGTTACAGAAATCTAGAACCCCAAGAAGGGTTTTGTAACAGTCAAAAATGTAGTCCCCAGCATACAGACGTGACCTAGATGAGATCACCTCGGAAGAGTACATGGACAGAGAAGGCAGCCATCCTGAGTGGCCCTTACATTTAGGGGAGTTATGCAGAGGGAGGTCATATGGAATACTGAAAATTAATAACCAATGATTTAAGAAAAACAGGTGAGCAGTGTTAGAGAATCCAAGGAAAGAGTGCCTAGGAAGGGAGTGGTCATCTAGTTGAAATGCTGTCAAACAGTTTAAGAGGATGAAGATTGAGAATTATGTATTCACCCTGGCAAGACAGAGCTCCTTGAAGACCTTGATGAGAGCTATTTCAGTGGGGTTCTCAGGATAAAAGCCCAATTGGAGTGGTTGAGGAGAGGAGAAGTTAGAAAGTAGAGGCAGCAATTACATACAGCACCTTCAAGGGGTTTTGTTGTGAAAGAGAGCAACATATCAGTTAGCTGGAGGAGGACATGGGGTCAAGGGTTTTATAAAAGGAAGTTCATGGGGCTAGTACTGGTGGCAAAGCAGGTTACACTGCCGGCTGTAATGCTGGTATCCCACATGGGTACCAGTTCGAGACCCAGCTGCTCCACTTCAGATCCAGGTCCCTACTAATGCACCTGGGAAAGCAGTGGAGGATGGTCCAAGTGCTCAGGTCCCTGCCACCCATGTCGGAGACTTGGAAGAAGCTCTAGTCTCCTGGCTTTGGCCTGGCACAGCCCTGGCTGTTTGCGGACATTTGAGGAGTGAACCACTGGATTGAAGATCCCTCTTTCTCCGTAACTCTGCCTTTCAAATAAATAAAAAAGTAATCTTGAAAAAAATATTAAAAAAAAAAACTTTATGAAGCCAGCATTGTGGCATACTGGGTAAAACTGCCACCTTCAATTTCAGCATCCCATATGGGCAGCAGTTCAAGTTCTGGCTACTCCACTTCCAATCCAGCTCCCTTCTGGTGTGCCTAGGAAAGCAGTGGAAGATGACCCAAGTGCATGCCACCCATGCGGGAGACCCAGACGAAGTTCCTGGCTCCTGGCGTTGGCTTGGCCCACCTCCTGGCTGTTGTGGCCATTTGGGGAATGAATCAGTAGATAGAAGACGTGTTTCTCCTTTTCTCACTTTCTCTATAACTCTGCCTTTCAAATAAATAAATCTTTAAAAAACACAAAACATCTTTATTTAAAAAAAAAAAGGTCATATGAAGATAGACAGTTTTATATGAAAGGCCAATCCAGTGTGGGAATCTGCTGACCCAGCAGGTATGAGAGAGCGGATAACCGCAGGTACAGTCTTAAGTAGAAGAGGGATGAGTACCAGAGCTCAGATAGAGGCCAGCCTTAAACAGGAGAGGGGCACTTCCTTGACTGTAGAATATGGCACAGGATGTAATAGTACCCAAATTCCCTTTTAACAGGAAGGGAAAAGCTATTAAGTACTTGGAGCATATTTAAATTCTCCTGAATCATTTATTATACTTGGTATAATACAATTGACTCTCAAGAATTTGTGTATCAGTAAATGAAGAATAGTAGCTGAATTATTCCCAAGGATGATTCTGTTAATATTAGTTTTGATAGTTTCAAACTTCAAATTATCAATTTCCAAAGTGTCTTGCAAAGTACTATAATTGTAGTTCTTTTACTCACGTTACAATTTAAGCTAAGCTCATTAAAAAGAAATTAGATAGTAAGTACCAAGAGGGAAGGTATGTGTCCAATGCTAAAGCTCCAGCACTTGGACATCAGCCTGGAACATAAAAGATATTCTTTGAGAAATGAATTAAGATTTCATAATCTCTGTTGATCTCTTACTTTATAGAGTGCTATATTTATCATTACCATTTAGGAAGATGAGCCTCTTCGCAGGCACTTTTTCATCATTTGTAATAAAAGAGAGCATAGCAATATCTGTAAATCGTTTCTAAAAGTGGAATATGAAAATAATGCTGTTGGGGGCCGGTATTGTGGCTCAGCAGGTTCCCATCTCAGAGTGCCAGCTGGAGTCCTAATGAGCCTGGGAATGAGTGGAAGATGGTCCAAGTGCTTGTGGCTCTGCCACCCATGTTGGAAACCAGGATGGAGTTCCAGGCTCTAGGTCTCCGCCTAGCCCAGATCTGGCTGTTATGGTCATTTGGGGAAGTGAACCAGCAGATGAAAGATTTCTCTAAGCCTTTCAAATAAATAAATAAATCTTTAAAAACACATGATGTTGTAGTATCAATAAGAAAAAAAACATATTCAAGCATAGCCAAATAAAAGACACCAACAGGCAAACTTAAGCCAAGAGGACTACTGAAATCCAGTCAGTCAGTCCAGAAAAGTATTAAGGGCTGGACATTGTGGCACAGTGGGCTAAGCCAGCATTTGGGACACCTGCATGCTGGAGTGCCTGGGATTGAGTCCTGGCTACTCTGCATCTGATCCAGCTTCCCGCTAATGCATTCTGGGAGGCAGCAGTTGATGACTCAAGTGTTTGGACCCCTGCCACCCACACAGGAAACATGGATGGAGTTCCTGGCTCCTGGCTTTAGCTCGGCCCAGCCCTGACCACTGTGGATGTTTAAGATCTTTCTCTTTTCTCCTCTCTATTACTCTGCCTTTAAAGTAGGTGAAAATTAAAGTAAACATATAAAAAAGAGTTCAATATGGAGAATATAGTAACAATAAAATCCTTTTTAAAAAAGGAGATGTATCGGGGCCGACGCAGTGGAGCAGCAGGTAAAGCCGCCACCTCTAGTGCCAGTTCAAGTCCCAACCTCTCCACTTCAGATCCGGCTCTCTCCTATGGTCTGGGAAAGACAACCCATGTGGGAGACACAGATGAAGCTCCTGGCTCTGGATGGGCACAACTCAAGTTGTTGCGGCCAATTGGGGGAGTGAACCAGCAGATGGAAGACTTCTCTGTCTCTCTCTCTTTCTCTCTCTCTGCCTCTCCTTCACTCTCTGTATAACTCTGACTTTCAAATAAATCTTTTAAAAAAAATAAAAGAGATGTATTCAGTTATTGAACTGATATCATATTCTCTTGTGAACTGTTTGTCAGGACAAGGGCAAGGGCAGATTCTCTTTGGTTACTGGTGCATTGACGAGAACAATGGTTGTTTGAGTGTATAACAGATAGGAAGAGATTTAAGCCCTCTAGGGCTGGTGCTGTGGCATAGTGGGTAAGGCCACTGTCTGCAGTGCCAGCATCCTATATGGGTGCCGGTTTGAGTCCTGGCTGCTCCACTTCTGATCCAGCTCTCTGCTGTGACCTGGGAAAGCAGTGGAAGATGGCCCAAGTCCCACCCTCATGGGAGACCCAGAGGAAGCTCCTGGCTCCTGGCTTTGGATCAGTGCAGTTCCAGCCATTGTGGCCATCTGGGGAGTGAATCAGTAGATGAAAGACCTCTCTCTCTCTCTCTCTCTCTCACTCTGCCTTTCAAATAAATAAAAAATAAAAATCTTAAAAAAATAAATATGAGCCCTGTGTGATATTGAGAAATGTTAACAGAAAAAGGTCCCCTAGGATTAAAGTGTGCAAAGACAATAAATAACACAATGTTCCCGAATACCAACAGAAGGTAAAAGTTTTCACTCAAAGAATGAAGTACAGTTTTCAAATATTTAAGTCAATTCTCCCTAGCAACTGTCACCTAAGAAACACAAATGCTACCCACTCTGTAATTACATGTAGTGTCCCTCATCCCCACTCTGCGTCAAAAGAGCAAGAAGCTAAAGATTCGCAAAACAATTAAACAAGTGAGACAGGTGAGCTCCACCCATCCTGCTTCAGAAAAAGAGGTCAAAACATGAGGCAGCTCATGTGTCTTTAAAAGAAAACAAAACAGCCAAACCAAGTGTACTACATCTGATAGCAAGCCGCTCAGATTCTTGGCAGTTCCCCAAATAAAAGAAAATCTTAAAAAAAAAAAAAAAAATCAGGAAAGGTGTATTTCCAGACTGCTCAGATTCCAAGTGTGGCCTGGATTATCTACTTGCTGACGCAGGAGAAATAAGCCCATTTAACTGATACAAGTGTAGAAAACTAAGTTAATCACAGCAATCACAGGGTTTATTCTTTGCCTAACAAGGAAGGATCACAAGATGACCAGGTCTATTTGACTAGGCTAGAAAAATGAAACGTTCACTTTGTTTTCAGAGATGATTCTTTTTATTACAAGAGGTTTTGGCCCCCTAGATGCCAACTTTAAGCAGACAACTTAATTCTGAGCTATGTACTCTTTCAACTACAAATTTCTACAGGAAACTTTGATTTTTCTCTTCCAGCTTGTTCTCATCCTGGTGCAAAAGTCAGTCCGTGTCCTTCCTTCTGGGGAGCTGGGCTGCTGAATGACCAACAGCAACTGCAGCAACACTGAGGAATCCAGCTTCTGCCCTCAAAAAGTAACCAGGGTTACCTCTCCATATTGTAAGTTTTCTGAAGGAGCAACATAAAGTTAGGTGACAAAAGCAAACATTCTCCTTGGCAAAAACAACAGTTACCAACTCAACCTACACAATTCTCACCTATTATTTTTTAGGGATTAATTTCCAGACACATGAGTTGGGAAATTTTATGCTAATGTTCTGAAAAACTAATTGGTCTCTTCTGACTATCACATCATATCTGGAAGTTTGCCATCACATTCTGAGAAGCCCACATTAGGTGGCATTAACCTATTTTGTTTTTTAAAAAAGTCCCTGGTATTTTTTTATTACTCTATCATTAGAGTCTCTCAAGTAGAATAAAGAATCATAAGATAATTATTCTTTACTTTTATAATCTCCTGCTTTATGAATTTATACCTCAATTACTAGCAATTAAAAGTTACAGGAAAAGTATGAGTCTGTTCTATGTCCAATTCTCAGTTTCTCAAATGACACCAATTTTACAATCGGGGAGTCAAACTGCCCTTCACTTTGCCACCACCAGCAGAATTCATCAGCCATCCAGCTCCACTGAAGAACTCCAGTCATTTTCTGAGACTGTTTGGTTAAAAGTGGACACCACTTACTATATGAAACTCAGAAAGTATTCAATATATGTAACCAACCTTAAATAAACATACTTACTGATTCAAAAGAGTGAATTCAAAATTCTAGTACTGAATTCAAGTCCTAACTTGAACAGAATAACCCAATCAAGGTTTTGGAGCTAAGAGCTGGTAGGAAAACTGGCTGATGTTAGTATCAACTCTGCCCAGACTTTTGGTAATCTATATGAATAATCCCAATTCACAGTTTTCATTATGACTGTACAGGAAATGCTTTCTGCAACCCAACATATCTAAAAAAGTTTCATTCTGAGTGATGCAAGCCCTCCACACAGCCTCAAAAGCCAAGGGTCAGAGCCTTCCTAATACTAATTCACATGAAGCAAACTTAGATTGTGAAATTATAAGCATTTATTATAGCGCATGCACATGTAAGGGACATTCTGAAGTGTATATCTTTACAACTGGAAATGAGCATAAAAGCTATCTATATTGATTTGCTTCCTATATTGAAACCACATCTACTGTTTTCCCTTGTTTTGCTATTTAAGATTTCTCTCTTAGCTCCACTTACATTTTTATTCTCCTATAAAACCACTACAAAAATGATGATTTCATAGACACTTCTCTGGAAGCTTACTACTAAAAATTAATGATTGCCATAAATTGAAAATTAAAACCACATACTTCTTAAGGAGCCAGTGTGGCCCTAGGATCCCTTGGGAAATAGTAAAAAGTACAAGAGATGATCTACACCCTGAAGGAACTGGGTAAGACTGTGTTTATTGATTAGGAAGGGGAGGGCAGCTTGAGAGGTAACTTTATACATACACAGGCAGGACTGGACTTCAAAAATTCACATCCACAGAAGATGATAAAATTACTTTGGTAACTATACCATTACTATAATGACAACCATCAGTAGCAACAAGTTCCTTACACAACTACCCCATACTGCAGTTTAAACCTGTCTGCTCTTACTCCAGTTATCAGTGGTGCTTTGGAGAACAGCTCGTCACCATTCCTAATCATGGATCCATTCACGGTTTCTGAAGAGTTCTAAGTTGTCTCTTAATCTTTCATTCCCAACCTTTCCTCATGGGACTGACTTCCAGTCATACAATCATCTTTTCAATCTCCTCAGAACTGCCTCCAGGGCCTCCTCATCCCTTTTAAGCTGAGGAACCTGGAAATGGAAACAACACTCAAGGAAGGGGATGATCAGAGCTAAACATTACCCACACAAAAGATAATCCCATCAGGATCTCTCTTAATGTCACTTTCACAACCATAATCAGTACCTTTACAAAAACTCCTGGTGCTGGCCCTTAAGCTCCTGGTGTGGCTCCTTTGCCACACTTAATTTAGCTTAGTATTTTTAAAAAATGAATTAGGGTGGCGAGTGAAGATACTGCCTATATTCCATAACTGAGTGCCTGGTTCAAGCGCCAGTTCTGCTCCTGATTCCAACTTCCTGCTAACCTGCATCGTGGGAGGCAGCTCAAGGGACTGGGCCCCTGCCATCTATGTGGGAAATCCAGATGAAGTCACTGGCTCCTGGTTTCATTCTGGTCTAGTCCTAGCTATTGCAGGCATTTGAAGAGTAAAGCCAGTGCCACAGCCCATATGGGCAGTGGTTCAAGTCCCAGCTGCTTTACTTCCAATCCAGCTCCTTGCTAACGTGCCTGGGAAAGCAGCAGAAGATGGCCCAAGTATCTGGGCCCCTGCACTCATGTGGAGACTTGAAAGAAGCTCCTGACTCCTGGTTTTGCATTGGCTCAGAAGTGGCCATGGTAGCCATCTGGGGAGTGAACCAGCAGATGGAAGATCTCTCTGTCTCTGTAACTCTGCCTTTCAAATAAATAAATAAAACTAAATAATAAATAAGTAAAATGCCTGTGTATTACATCATAGTGGTTGGATTCAAGTCCTGGCTCTGCTTCCAATTCCAATGTCCTGGTAATGTGCATTCTGGGGGACAGCAGGTAAAGGCTTAAGTGGCTGGGTCCCCTGCTACCACAGCAGAGACCTAGATTGAGCTCTTGACTCCCAGCTTTAGCTGGACCCAGCCCTAGCTGTTATAGGTATTTTGAAATTGAACCAGTGGATGGGAGCTCTCTCTCTCTTACTCTTGTTCTCTCTCCTTGCCTCTCAAAATTAAAAGAAAAATAATTGTTAAAATTACCCTGCTATTAGTATTGTATAGGTTCTCATAACTTACACAATGTTTTTGCAGACTATTCCTAAAAGGGGTATATATATATATCAAATTTTCAATTCACCATTCACTAATCCCCTTCTATAAGAAAAGTCCATGTAACAATAAATGGTGACGGAGCTGGTGCTGTGACATAGCAGGTAAAGCCACTGCCTGAAGTGCCAGCATCCCATGTGGGTGCCGATTCTGGTCCCAGTGGTTCCACTTTGGATCCAGCTCTCTGCTATGGCCTGGGAAAGCAGTGGAGGATGGCCCAAGTTCTTGGGCTCCTGCACCCACATGGGAGACCTGGAAGAAGCTCCTGGCTCCAGATTGTGCGGCTCCAGCTGTTGTGGCATCTGGGGAGTCAGCCACTGGATGGAAGATGCCCCATCCCCTGCCTCTGTTTCTCCGTAACTCTGCCTTTCAAACAAACAAATAAATCCTTAAAAACAAAAAATAAATGGTGGGGACCACTGTTTTGGCACAGGGGGTTAAGCCACTGCCTTGCATGCCAAAATCTCACGAGCACAGATTTGAGGGTCCCAACTGCTCAACTTTCAACCCAGCTCCCTGCTAACGTGCCTGGAAAAGCAACAGAAGATGGCACAAGTGCTTTGGCTCCTGCCATCCACGTGGGAAACCCGGATGGGGTTCCTGGCCCCTGGCCATTTGTGGAGTGAATCAGCAGATGGAAGATTTCTCTGTCTTTTCTTCTCTCTCTAAATCTGTCTTTCAAATAAATAAATAATCTTTTTTGTTAAAAAAAAAAAAAGAGAGATGACTTAGAAACAGCCCATGTCTTTAGGGAAACAGAACCAAATGAGGGAGAGATATTAAAAATACAGCAAAAGGTATCCTGGGGTAAGTTCTTTAAGGATAAAGTATAAAGTACAGTAAGAAACAGGAGAGAAGTTGAGTTTCAAATAATAGTAGTTATCTGTGAAAGATTCGTGAAGAGTTGAGAGCTGGGGATCTGAAATGAGCTATAAAAAATGAGAAAGCCTGAGCCAGGTAAAGATGGGAAGATGTTAAAGACAAAGGGGAAGTGCTAGCAAAGGTAAAAAAGGCAGGTCCACAAAGACTATGGAGAATACCTAACAGTTCAATAGTCCAATGTGGCTAAATAACGTAAGTTAGACCATGCATTCAGGAGATAAGGTTCAAAACATAGAAATGTAGGCCTGCTAGATTATGAAGAACTGAGAATTTTATGTCTTCATATCAGTGAGAAAACAAAGGGTTTCAGGAATATACAGTCACAGAATCACATCTACATGTAAGAAAGCCATTGGCAACACTGTAGGGTGAAGAGGAAGGTAAAGAGATCTATTAGCAGATTACTGTAAGAATACATGCAAAGGCAATGAACATTTAAACTTGGATGGTAGAAACAGAAAAGCAGGGAAAGATTAAAGACACGTTACAACAGTATAGTGGATGAGACTCAGAAATCAACTGGATTGGAGTAGGAGGAGAAAGGATTGAAAGATAACACAGGCCGCGGCTCACTAGGCTAATCCTCCGCCTGCGGCACCGGCACCCCGGGTTCTAGTCCCGGTCAGGGCGCCGGATTCTGTTCCGGTTGCTCCTCTTCCAGGCCAGCTCTCTGCTGTGGCCCGGGAGTGCAGTGGAGGATGGCCCAAGTCCTTGGGCCTTGCACCCGCATGGGAGACCAGAAGAAACACCTGGCTCCTGGCTTTGGGTCAGCGCGGTGCGCCGGCCATAGCGCGATGGCCACAGCAGCCATTGGAGGGTGAACCAACGGAAAAAAGGAAGACCTTTCTCTCTCTCTCTCTCACTGTCCACCCTGCCTGTCAAAAAAAAAAGATAACACAATACAGAGGGTAAGAATGAATTTTCCAACAGATGGAGGTTCAGATTTGAATACTAGCTCTACCACTCAATAGCCGTATGGCTTAGGGAAAACTAACTTGTCCATGTCTCAGTTTTTTCATCTGCAAAACATGGTGTGTTGAGTATTTTAACAAACCTTGCTTTTAATTTATTTTTTAAAGATTTATTTATTTATTTGAAAGGCAGAGCTAGAGAGAGAAGGGAGAGAGAAAGATCCTCCATCCACTGTTTCACTCCCTAGTTGGGCACAACAGCCAGGGCTGGGCCAGTCTGAAGCCAAGAGCCAGGAGCTTTATCCGGGTCTCCTACGTGGGTGCAGGGGCCCAATCACTTAGGCCATCTTCCACTGCTTTCCCAGGTACATTAGCAGGAAGCAGCCGGGACTCGAACTGGCACCCACGTAGTACGCTGGCATTGAAGGCAGCAGCTTTACCTGCTATGCCACAATGCTGGCAGCAACAAACCTTGTTTTTAAAAAGACCCAGAAGAAGCTTCTGGCTCCTGGCTTCAGACTGGCCCAGCTGCAGCTGCCCTGGCCATTTGGGGAGTAAACCAGTAGATGGTAGACCTCTCTCTGTGTGTGTCTCTTCCTCTCTCTCTTTGTAACTCTGCTTTTAAAATAAATAAATAAATCTTTTTTTTAAATGTAAGCAGTATTTTTCCTCCTTAAGCATACTGCCCTCTATTAGTTATTCTTAAATTTCTGTCTGTGACCATTCTACTTGTGGTTATTTTATTTTTCAAGTTAAGTTCAAAACCCCAGAACTTGCAGCGTGCAACTTAGTATTTCTTCTATAATTATATTGTTAATTGCACTGGTTTCTGTAGACCAACACTTATTCAGTCCAAGCTGAAACTTGAGAACAAATGTCAAATGGTTACCAAGTATAGATGAATGGATCTGAACCTGGAGGCCAAGAATCCTGAAGAGCCTCCAAGTTGCTTTAAGGCATCACCAAGTACTTAACACTTACACAAATCAGAGGG